TCAGTGTGTTAGTAGTGATTACGAGAGAAAATGCGGTCAAACCTAACTGTTGAGCAACGCTATCGACGGCTGCATTTCAATCGCTGTTAGTCTATAGTGTGTTATATAAACCGTACGTTAATTATAACGAAACAGTGTTTTGCTGTAAGAAATGTTGTGTTGTTTTTTATTTTTGGTGGAAATGAAATGCATTTTTTTTTGTCGGCAGAGATAGTGATGTGAAAGATCTCTGACTGAATAACACGAGTCGATTGACAATAACATAACACACGAGTGAACAAACTTTTTGGTGGCGAAAAATGTGTTGATTTTTGTGAATATTATTGGATTGAAAATTATTTTTGAATAAAATTTTTTGATTTTAGTTACAATTATAACAAATTTTATACTTGAGTTTTGTTTGTGAAATATTTGCGAAAATATTTTTGTTTTATTTTTATTTTTTCCGTTCAATTCATTTGTATTGAATGAAAGATAATATCAATAATAATAATAAAGCGATGAGAAGAAGGAGAAGAAGATGTTGTGTGAAAATACATGTGAATTGAATTGTCATCAAAAGTGGAGAAATAAAAATAATAAAATCAAAAATAAAACACCGATTGTTGTGTCGACAGAATATATCCGTAATAAATAAAAACCATATAAAACAACAACAACAAAATTGTTACATGATAAATTAACGTTGTTTAATATGCAAATATTAGCGCATTACTGAATACCCACACGGATTTTCCACACGCAATGTGTGTTATGTGTATTTTTCAACACCACATGATAACTATATGAATGAAATAAAATTGTTGTAATATTGATATTATAATAAATCTGCGGATAAATAAGTGTTTAAACCAATCGCTAATTACATTTCCAATTGGATTACAATTATGTGATTTATTGTGTAAATAAATTGCTTAGTGAAATAATTTTTGGTGATTTAAAATTATGTTTAAGTTTATACATCTATTGACGGCAACCCTACCGGCGCTCATACCGTTGACCACATTCTTGTTGGTCAGACAGGCAGACCATACCGTCAACTTTGGCCGTAACTCATGGGATCAGGTATTTTATTATTATAATTATTAATTGTAACATAACTATAATAGTAATTATAAATTATATTTAATTATTGAAATTATTATTACTAATTTTAATTATATAATTATATTACTAATACGTGTAATTTTCATATTGTACAATAATAAAGAAGTAACAAGTGAAATTTATTTTCTAATTATAGACATACACATGATGTACAATTCTTAAGATATGTTTAAGTTTAGATGGTAAATTTGTTAACTATGTAATCATGTTCACTGCACCCGTTAACTTAACTAATAATTTACATTATAATGCCATATATTTGGTGACACAAAATATAAAGAAAACATAATTTTATTTCACAAAATCTGAGGGAAAAGTTAGTGAAGTGTTAAAAATAGAGTCGTTTTCTATAGAAATCACTAATTTATTGTTTAGTTGTTTTTTAAATGTATTGTTTTCACTTATACTTACTGTTTGAGAGAGAGAGAGAGAGAGAAATTCGCCACAAATTAAGCCCAAACTATAAATATCGGACTTCGGGTCATAGTGTGAACTGCGGACCACTTCGGGCGCCATATAAGTGATGTCTCCCTTGTCTTTGGTGTGCGACTGTCCGCTATAGTCGTGTGGTTTGGCGTAACCAAAGTCACAGATCTTAATGAACTGTCGTCGCAGTGAACCCCCGGCGCCGCACAACGAGTTCACGACCAGTATATTCTCCGGTTTGAGGTCCCGGTGTATAATAGGTGTGTCCAAAGTGTGCAAATAGTTAAGGCTTTTGGTCAACTCCTCAAACAACTCATAGGCTATGAAGTAATCAATGAGTGCTAACACATAGACAACACTCGTGTCGTCCACTGAGGTTTGGCTGAAGAGTCGGTTTTTGGCGTTTATGACTTCACGCAGATTATGATCGCAGAACTCGGTCTCGATGTGCAGTCTCTGGCCCTCAATCCATGCGCTCCGGAACTCCACTACAAAATCACTGCGGATTTGTGACAAACACTGACACTCTTTGTTAAACGACTCGTTATTTTTATCACTGATTTCTGTAATGAAATTAAAAATAACTTATAATAACTTAAAATAATTTTAATTATATAAAACTGTGAGTTATTTAAAATAAATTATGCAAATATACATTAAATTAGAAATGTTTTTAATGAATAGTTTTAGTATTCATAATTACCTTGATAGAACATCTTGATGGCGTATATAGTGTTGGTTTGTTTGTCCCTAACTTTGACCACCTTGCCAAAACTGCCGTTTCCTATTTTGCCCAGCACTTCAAATTGATTGTTCAAATTGCCCTCGATCGTCTTGATAATTGCCCCATTTAACGGTACTATCAAACTCTCCACATTTGTATCACACATTTTGTCACAGATAGGTTAATAATATTTTAATTCATTTAGCTAAAATGCAATTTATAACTGATATATTACGGCATGAAATATTATAATTAGTTAATATTAATTAAAAACTTTAATAAATAATGTTTATATTACTCACAACAGGAGTCCATATTAAATATGATTACAAAATCCATTGTCAATACAGAGTATGTCTGAAGTAATTGTCTGATAAAAAAGATTTTCTTATCTCTATTAAGAAATAATACAATCAAAACCAAAATAATAAAAATGTTAAATAAAATCTTTTATAACTTTATTAATACAAAGTGTGTGTTATTTGTACTTATTATTCAGAAATCTCTGTATAAAAAATAAATTTTTAATTAATATAAAATACATAAATATAAATAAACAAATTTTCATACGAAATATTTAACTCAAACTAACAATAATTGTTGAGATAATTATTATCAAAAAATATCGGCCACTTCTTGAGTGCATTTCTCGCAATACTGTCGACCGAAACGGCATTTCGTCACAAAATGTAGGCGAAGATTGTGTCCGCAATCAGTCGGCAAACTATCCCCGTATTTACTCAACGCTCGCAAAGCATCGGCTAATATACTATCGGTCGACCGGACGAGCAGTTGTCTCGGCACAGATATATCATCCAAATTATTCACTCGACAACTCTTTTTATCCTCACAGCAAACACTATCTAACCGGCGGTGGAACAGGCGTTTGGACTCCGGGCACACGTACACGATATGCCCGTCACTCACATACAGACCCCATATGTTTGTACAACACGTGCCTTTGGCCCGGATCTCGATTATGTCCCCTTCGGTCGCATTCAGGGTATTATATTCGGTAAAACTCATATTCCGTGTTAGGGTTGGCTCAATGGGGCCGTCAGTCTCGGCACAACCGACCAATTGGTCAGTCTCTTCGCCTTCAAGCCGGGCCTTGAGTTTAGTGACCAGAAAATTGGCGAAAAATGCGCCCTCAGAGCCATTAAACGTACTGATTGTGTGCAACCCTTTCTTTATTAACAGCATTTCCTGTGCGGACAAACGCCAGGCGCTAATTGTGGTCAACAGTTGGCCAGTAGTCGGTCTCAATTCAATGCGCCCTCAGAGCCATTAAACGTACTGATTGTGTGCAACCCTTTCTTTATTAACAGCATTTCCTGTGCGGACAAACGCCAGGCGCTAATTGTGGTCAACAGTTGGCCAGTAGTCGGTCTCAATTCATACTGTGGCTCAGTTAGCATTGCCAGTATGGGCTCGTTTAGGCACCGGTACGTGTCCTGTAGTCTCGTGTGTTTGCCTTTGATTGACTTTTCAAACCTAGTTACAAATAAAAATAAAAATTTTTAATATTAAGACCACTATTAAAAAAAACTTATGGTAAAACAAATACATACGAATAGGTGTTAACATTAAACAATTGGCTGCAAATAAGGCCCAGACTATAGACGTCTGACTTCTGGTCGTAATGTGTGCTTTTGCTCACTTCGGGTGCCATATAGTCGACTGTCCCCCTGTCGTTGGTGTGCGACTGACCGCTGTATTTGTGAGGTTTGGCGTAACCAAAGTCACAGATCTTGAGAAACTGACGGCGCTGGCCGTCAACGATTGGCACCTCATTGAGCACCAGTACATTCTCGGGCTTCAGGTCTCGGTGTATGAGTGTTGTGCTCAAAGTGTGCAAATAGTTCAGACTTCTGGTCAACTCTTCAAACAATTCGTAGGCAATAAAGTATTCAATGAGTGCTAACACATAGGTATCGCTCATGTGGTCGTCGGGTGCGGCCGATGGGCTACTGAAGAGTCGTTGTTTGGCTTTAATAATATCTTGTAGATTATGGTCACAAAACTCTGTCTGAATGTATAGCCTCTGGCCCTCAATCCATGCGCTCTGGAACTCAACCACAAAATCACTACTGATTTGTGACAAATATCGGTGCTCTTTGATAAATAACTCGTTGTATTTTGAGTTTATTTCTACCATAATAAAAATGTTAAAAACATATGATTAGGTCAATTAATATACGTTTTTTTAATCTATCAATTTATTAATATCAAGTTAATTAAGCTTAATATTTACTTTCATGAAATATTTTGATAGCGTGCGTTTTGTCGGTCACTTTGTGTCGTACTTTGACCACGGTGCCAAAACTGCCCTTTCCTTTATCAGCCAGCCATTCAAATTCATTGCCATATTTACCCTCATTGATCTCAATATCTAGCTTCAATTCACTCATTGTAGAAGAAGTAAGTTGTTGTTATATTCAAACAATAAATAAAAAACAAACTTCATCAATCTGATTTACATTTATGTTTAAATACTCTAGTTGTAGATGTCTAATATCAGTATCACTCGTCATAATAGGTGTATTACCTATGATTGCAAAACCAATTGTAAATCCCGGGAAATGTGTTGAGTAGTTGTGTAATAATATAACGTCTGAATCCGTCTCCTTATCTCTTATCTATAACTTATAAACTATAAGACATTAAAATGTGAAAAATATTTTACGGCTATATATTATGTGCACTTTATTTGCATTTCCACTGTGCAATCTCTCTCTTTCTCTCTCTCTCTCTCTCTCTCTCTCTTCATTTCTTTCTCCACTTATAATTATAACAAATCAGCTTTTAATTAAAAATAATAATTTAAATGTCAAATCCTTCAATACATTGATAAGATTTCATTAAAAATAATTTACCTAAACTTTATATTATTACACAAAAATAATATTGATTATTATAAATGTATGAAAATACAATATACGTTATAGTAATTTAAATAGTATATTGGTTGATAATTATGTCAATTATTGTCCGCAATTTGTTTCGACAAAAGTTTTATTTAGCGAAACATTTATAATATTATAAATATTTCACAATAAATCTCTTGTAAATTGCAAACAAGTTATGGAAATTAGTGACAGAGAGTATTAAATACATAATAATTTAATAATAATTTTCTCATAACTTTTATGTTTATTTAATTTAAAAGTAGTAAATTTAATTTGTTTAAAAATAGTAAATGTAGACATTTAATTTATGTATTTTGAGCATGGACAATAGGATTATGATGGAAAAACTCGGTCACAAAATTATTTTTGTGTGAAATATTTATTGTTATTTATTAAAGTTTATTAAACTATTGTCTAAAATGTTTTCTTAAAACCTTTTTCTATTTGTAAACATATATTAAATTAAACAATATTTTTGACAATACTATTAATCCGCCCATAAATACACACAAACGGTATATTTATTGTTAATAACACAATAAAGACTTTGATTATAACCGGATTTAGTGACCAAAACATATTAAATTTACAAATAAAACAATTTTCTCAAACACTTTAATCGTAATGTATTAGACATATGATGTGAAAAACGGTATTATTTTAAACATCCATTTGTTGTTCAAATAAACGTTTTTATTTATGTCTATAAAGTCAGTGCTAAATATGGGGGACAGGGAGTCAACGGTGGGGGCGATTTGGGGGGTCAGACAGGTATAAGTGGAAGGCATAAGCTGTGAATAGAGGATCTGTCGTGAGTTTGTTGATCACATTATAGCACAAGAAAAGCAACAAAAAATATCTACACATTAAATAATAAATAAAAAGACTCCCAAAAATCAAACTGAATATTAAATAACATCTAAAAATAAGCTGTCGGTAGAAAAAACGCAATGCAATCGAGTCTTAGATATAATAATCTATACAAGTTTGCTCTCTCTCTCTCTCTCTCTCTCTCTCTCTCTCTCCCCCTACCAGTCCCTCAATACATGTTTTTGGAAAGTCATTCAATGAACAAAAATTTATATATAGGTAAAAGCATAGGTATAAACAGCACAGGTATGTACGCGAGAGAGTCAGTCAGTGTGTTAGTAGTGATTACGAGAGAAAATGCGGTCAAACCTAACTGTTGAGCAACGCTATCGACGGCTGCATTTCAATCGCTGTTAGTCTATAGTGTGTTATATAAACCGTACGTTAATTATAAGAAACAGTGTTTTGCTGTAAGAAATGTTGTGTTGTTTTTTATTTTTGGTGGAAATGAAATGCATTTTTTGTCGGTAGAGATAGTGATGTGAAAGATCTCTGACTGAATAACACGAGTCGATTGACAATAACATAACACACGAGTGAACAAACTTTTTGCTGCGAAAAATGTAGTGATTTTTGTGAATATTATGGGATTGAAAATTATTTTTGAATAAAATTTTTTGATTTTAGTTACAATTATAACAAATTTTATGTTAGAGTTTTGTTTGTGATTTGTTTTTGTGAAATATTTGCAAAAATATTTTTGTTTTATTTTTATTTTTTTCCGTTTAATTCATTTGTATTGAATGAAAGATAATATCAATAATAATAATAAAGCGATGAGAAGAAGGAGAAGAAGATGTTGTGTGAAAATACATGTGAATTGAATTGTCATCAGAAGTGGAGAAATAAAAATAATAAAATCAAAAATAAGACACCGATTGTTGTGTCGACAGAATATATCCGTAATAAATAAAAACCATATAAAACAACAACAACAAAATTGTTACATGATAAATTAACGTTGTTTAATATGCAAATCTTAGCGCATTACTGAATACCCACACGGATTTTCTACACGCAATGTGTGTTATGTGTATTTTTCAACACCACATGATAAATATATGAATAAAATAAAATTGTTATAATATTGATATTATAATAAATCTGTGGATAAATAAGTGTTTAAACCAATCGCTAATTACATTTCCAATTGGATTACAATTATGTGATTTATTGTGTAAATCAATTGTTTAGTGAACATAATTTTTGGTGATTTAAAATTATGTTTAAGTTTATACATCTATTGACCGCAACCCTACCGGCGCTCATACCGTTGACCACGTTTTTGTTGGTCAGACAGGCAGACCATACCGTCAACTTTGGCCGTAACTCATGGGATCAGGTATTTTATTATTATAATTATTGATAGTAACACTTATAATAGTAATTGTAAATCAT